CGAGCTGACACGTGTTTCGTCCGGACAATAAGAATTTTACATGTGGAAATTTCCCATTGGTCGGGGCTGTTAACGGGTTATCGGATCCAAAACCCGACCCGATAGCTTAATGACGTTCCGTTACGGTGGATGCCACGTGTCGGTCACCCTTGACAAAAGCACTTCTGTGACGCACGATTTATCGTCATGGAAGTGGACACTTCCGTGATGATAATTTTGGTAATGTCATGGAACACTTCTACGACAGCACAGGTATGACTATCTTGATTCTGTCATAAAATCGTCATGGATGTACATGCATGACAAAAAACGCGACCTACTGTGACAAACATGTATCATCACGGAAGTGTTTTTTTTGTAGTGTCCATGCTATTATATTATTTGTTTTGGATGTTTTATATGCATTTATATGCTATTTTATATTATATTTGGGACTAACCTATTAACCTAGAGCCCAGTGCCAGTTCCTGTTTTTGCCTGTTTTTGAGTTTTGCAGAAATGGAATACCAAACGGAGTCCAAACGGAATAAAACCTTCGCGTTGATTTTTCTTGGACCAGAAGATAACCATGATACTTGAAGATGAAGTCGAAGGAGCCACGAGGCGGCCACAAGGACGGAGGGCGCGTCCAGGGGGGTAGGGCGCGCCCCACCCTTGTGGGGCCCTCGTGCACCTCCCGACCTAATTCTTTCGCCTATATATACTCTTATATCCCAAACCACCAAGGGAAGCCACGAAAACACTTTTCCACTGCCGCAACCTTCTGTACCTGTGAGATCCCATCTAGGGGCCTTTTCCGGCGTCCTGCCGAAGGGGGATTCGATCATGGAGGGATTCTACATCAACTCTATTGCCCTTTCGATGAAGCATGAGTAGTTTACCTCAGACCTACGGGTCTATAGCTAGTAGCTAGATGACTTCTTCTCTCTCTTTGATTCTCAATATGTTCTTGGAGATCTATTCGATGTAATACTCTTTTATGACGTGTTTGCCGAGATTCGATGAATTGTGGAGTTATGATCAGCTTATCTATGAATATTATTTGAATCTCCTCTGAATTCTTTTATGCATAATTTGATATCTTTGTAATTCTCTTTGAACTATTGGTTTGGTTTGGCCAACTAGATTGGTTTTCTTGCAATGGGAGAAGTGTTTAGCTTTGGGTTCAATCTTGCAGTGTCCTTTCCCAGTGACAGTAGGGGCAGCAAGGCACGTATTGTATTGTTGCTATCGAGGATAAAAATATGGGGGTTTCATCATATTGCTTGAGTTAATTCCTCTACATCATGTCATCTTGCTTAATGCGTTACTCCGTTCTATATAAACTTAATACTCTAGATGCAAGCTGGATAACGGTCGATGTGTGGAGTAATAGTAGTAGATGCAGAATCGTTTCGGTCTACTTGACACAGACGTGTTGCCTATATTCATGATCATTGCCTTAGATATCGTCATAACTTTGCGCTTTTCTATCAATTACTCCGTAGTAATTTATTCACCCACCGTATTATTTGCTATCATGAGAGAAGCCTCTAGTGAAACCTATGGCCCCCGGGTCTATTTTCCATCATATAAGTTCTATTTTCCATCATATTAGTTTTCGATCTACTATTTTGCAATCTTTTACTTTCCAATATATAAACCAAAAATACCAAAAATATTTACTTTACCGTTTATCTATCTCTATTAGATCTCACTTTGCAAGTAACCGTGAATGGATTGATAACCCCTTTATCGCGTTGGGTGCAAGTTGTTGTTTGTTTGTGCAGATATTCGGTGACTTGTGTGTTGTCTCCTATTGGATTAATACCTTGGTTCTCAAACTGAGGGAAATACTTATCTTGTTGCCTTTCCTCTTTAAGGGGAAAACCAACTCAAGCTCAAGAAGTAGCACCCTTCAAGTGGTTGATACTAGATAAGCAATCAATAGGCACATTTCCCTTGCTAATATAAAGATCCGACGCTAGAGCGAAAGCTTCACTGAATGCCAATGCCTCCAATGTCCCGGACTGCACCATATCCTTGAAGACAACATTTGAGGCGCCTTGATAAAGGCCATGTTCATCATGACAAAACGATAACAACAGAACCCCCATCGTTGTGTCTAGATACCGCGGCATCAAACCATCAGATTGTAGTGTCCCTCCAAAGGAGCTACCCTGGTTCTCTGACTTCTGGTAGCCAGAGCTTGCATAGCTCCCGGCAGGGCTGCCATGCTGGGTGATCGGCGGGGAAGGAGGGCTAGATCCACCATATATCTTTCCTACTTATAAAGGTTGGAGTTGGTGATGAGTTCACGTGCGAGATCAACAACCTTCACCAATAAACAATCGTATCTCTACCCACGTTGGGAATAACAACCTCCAAGAACATAGATAAACAAATGTATTTCTACTCACATGTGGGACCTAACATAAATAAATAACTACACTACTACTTTCATGCGAGACCAACACTTATAAAGGGCACAAATAACAAATGCAGAAATGCGACTCAAACTCAATATAATGCTTTTGTTTACCTTTTTTTCCCAACCAAGTTATTTCAGTTTTGTATCATAGAACAAGAGAGTGAACAAATTGTAATTCAAAAATGAAACATACCTTGTCCTCCTACCCGATCCACGACCTTGTGCGGTCAACTCACCAGTGTCTATTTCTCATATGTTTCAACATTCGAAATGTTGCGTCTGTAAAGAACTATGGCCACTTAAGTTCCCCAATGCCTGACGCATGATCTTTTGTTGTATTTGTGTTCTTTTCAAAATAGTGAACCTCGCGCAAAGGCCGTGTGACACCAACATATTTTTACGATTTCCTAATCCAATGACCTAACTCCTTGTATTATAATTTGGTAGCAACGCATGGGCATTGTGTTAGTTTCTGGATAAAGCTGAACGTAGAGACGCTGGAATTCTTGCTCATGGCTTTTCCTCCTAACCGGGTCTTGTCAAGCGCCTGCAAGCAGCATTCAAAAATTTGCATCGCGTGTGAGAGACCATAACCCATAAGAGAGATTAAGGGATGGGCTGGAAGGAAAGAAAAAAAAGCCCATCAAACATAACCTCGAGTCGACTCGTCGCACAGCCGCGGCAACGGCCAGGACAACCGCTGCGTCCCCGATTCCCCTCGCGACTGCTCTGCACTCCTGCCGATCTCGCCACCTGGTCCGCCTCGCCGTCGATTCTACCCGCCCCTGCCCTGCCCTGCGCCACCGCTACCAGCCGGCAGTCCCTAGCCGCCCAGACCGCACTAGGCAGTCGACGCCCGGCGCCCAGTGTTGTGCAGCTGCAGAAGGCACGTAGCCATCCGCCCAGCCCGATTTGAGGCACGTTTGATGAGATTTCTGCCTCTTCCGCAATTTCTGTTTACTGATTATACTCATTGCTCGTCGTGCCGCCACCTGCCAGTACTTCTCGTTACGAATTAAGGCTTGTTGCGCTCCTCTGTAAATTGTAATGTATCACTAAGTGATGAGTCCTGTCCAGGAATGTTACTTCTTACTGCTGAGTTGTTTCAGTTTGGATCCATTTTTCTGAATCCATGTGGCATCTGGAGCTGTAATTTTCAGAAATGTTACCAATTACTACTGAATTGTTTCAGTTTGGGTCAAACAATTGATACATTGTTCTAATTTTTTGAATCGGTAAATTTCACATATTTTCAACTAGGACCACATGATTACATATATATGTATCAAATGTGGAAGAATGAACACATGCACATAGTCTCCTTTGAACTTTTCAAGGCATGTAGGCTTTTTAATGCAAAATCAAGACTTATTCGAGAATTTTTGATATGTTTGTAAGATAATATTGATCAACTTCTATCGTGTTATTGACATGTCATATTTATCATATTTTTTTAGGGTGGATCGCCCTGTTTCAAAATCTTTGATCCGCCAGCCAGCCGCTGCTGCCACCATCATCAGAGGCAGAGTTTTGGCTTCCAACCGTCCTCCAGCGGCCTTCTAGCCGCTGCCACCACCTGCGGCCACCAACCTCTCTCCTGCACGCAAAGGGGGCCCCGCAGCAATTGAACCATCCTCTGTTTTTGAGTCGTTCAACTAGTCGCGACTAGTCGATGAGTCGCTGCTCCAGGTTCGACTCAGACTAGACTCCTGGCATGAGTCGAGCGACTAGTCACGACTAGTGGCTCTTTCTGGGTCGAGTGACTCACTTTTCTTTTTGAGGGGGAGCGACTCACTTAAATGGAGCCCAACTGTTATATGTTTTGTTTACAGTATATGGGCCGGCCCATCTCCCCTGGAAACCTAGATCGATCATCCCCCACCTCCCCCCGATCCAACCGTCTCCAGCCGCCACCCCTGGTTGCCCCTGCTGCTGTTCTGCGCCTACCCTCCTATGGTGTGATCCTCCCCTCCTCCCCTGCTACTGTTGT